AGGGGGGCCGGCTCAGCCTCTCAGGGCCTTGGGACAAACAGGTGACCCTGACCCAGACCCCAGCTCACACCCACTGACCTCAGAGGACCAGGGGAGGAGGGAGAGGCTGCTTGAAGCCAGCCTCTGCCCGCCAGCCTCTGCGCACCAGCCTCCTCAACCTCTTCCACATCAGGCAAGGCCTTGAACCCCTTTCCTGTCACCCCCACTGGTGTCCCACTCTGGATCGTGGAGGAAGGGTCACTACTCTTGGGTGAGCCGCAACATTTTTAAGTAAGAGAAAATAAATCAAGAGGGAGAGGGGCTGGGAAGGTGGCTCAGTGGTAGAGCGCTTGCCTGGCATGCATGAGGCCCTGGGTTCGATTCCTCAGCACTGCATAAGCGAAAAAGGTCAGAAGTGGGGCTGTGGCTCAAGTGGTAGAACGCTAGCCTTGAGCTGAAGAGCTAAAAGACAGCGCCCAGGTCTAGTGTTCAGGCCCCACAACTGACCCAAAAAAAGGGAGAAAAACTTGTCCACGGAAGCCAGGCACTGGTGGCTCATGCCTGTCATCCTAGCTACTCAGGAAGCTGAGATCTGGCCTTGCTGGTGGCAGGGCCCACGGCCTCAACTCAGCAAACACGAAGCACCTCAGGAGAACCAAGGCGTCAACACCTGCCTAAGAATCACTTTGGGGAATTGGGAGATGGGTGAGAGAAGAGTAGCACGCCACCCAAGGTAAGTCCGCGCTCAAAACCCCAGCGCCACAAAAAGGAAATAAACAAAGGGACGAGTCATCAGAAAGACGAACTAAAACAAGACACTGTTCATCTACTGGACCGGCAACTATTAAAAAGGTCATTAATATCCAATGCAGGGGTTGGAGGCATGGCTCAGTTGGTAGAGTGCTAGCCAATGAGCAAGGGTGTCAGGTTCTAAGATCGAGTACCAGTCTCAGCCAAGAAAGAAAAAAAAAAGAAAAGAGAGAAGATGAGGGTACAGAGAAACAGACTTTCAAACTAGTGCAACTCTAAGTGGCCGCATTTTCTCTGGGGCAATTTGTGCGTGTGTGCACCAGTACTGGGGTTTGAACTCAGGACTTCATATTCTTGCTGTGGTGCTCTGTCACTTTGAGCCACACCTCTGCTTTCTGCTGGTTACCAGGAGCTGAGATTCTCATGGACTGTCCTCTCCCACACTGGCTTCCAACTGTGATCCTCAGCTCTCAGCCTCCTCAATAGCTAAGGTTACAGATGTGAGCCACCAGTGCCCAGCTCTTTGGAGCAATTTGATTGCCGCCCTTTCAAAAGACAGATTCCACTTACACTTAAACATGTCAAAGGTATGAGAAAAGTATTCAGTCCTAAAGGTGTCATTTAGAGATAAAGCAAAATAGAGAAAAAAGAGCAAGCCAGGCAATCCTGGCTCACACGTCATCCTAGCTACTCAGGAGGCTGCAATCAGAAGGATCATGGTTCAAAGCCAGCCCTGGGCAGAAAAGCCTTTGAGATTCCATCTCCAAAATAACCAACAAAAAGCCACACTGGAAGTATAGTTCAATTGGTAGAACCAAGAAAGAGCAAGTATCCAAGTATCCAAAAAAAAGAAGAAGAAAAGCCAGACAGCACTGGCTCACACCTGTATTCCTAGTTAATCAGGAGGCTGAGATCTGAGGATCAAAGTTTATTCAAAGCCAGCCGGGACAGGAAAGTCCACGAGACTCATCTCAAGTGATACGGCGCTCAGCTTGAGCTGAAGAGCTCAGAGACAGTGCTCAGGCCCAGAGTGCAAGCCCACGACCAACCAAAACAAGGAAGACAGACCAGCACTAATGACAAGTATCCTTTCTGCACTGGGACACTGTGTCCTGAGTACTGCACTGGTATACTGTGTCACCATGAACCTCAGTACTGCACTGAGTACTGCACCAGGACACTGTGTCACCATGAACCTCAGTACTGCACTGAGCACAGCACCAGGACACTGTCACCACGACCCTGCCTGGGGACAGAAGGTCCTCACCAGGTGGGTTGCTGCCACTGTCTGGTGGGAGATGGAAGAGCCAAGGAGGAAAAGGTGGAGCCCAAGTTCTCCAGAAAGTTCCCCCGATTCCCAGACAGGATGTGCGCACCCCCTCCTCTAGCTGCTGCCTGTCACGTCTCTCAGCTATAAGCTCCCAGACTGAGAGGCTGACTTGGGAATTTATCTCCCACTTCTACTATTAGTCAAGTAGAGCTCTCGCTGGGCACCGGTGGCTCACACCTGTCATTCTAGCTACTCAGAAGGCTGAGATCTGAGGATTGCAGTTTAAAGCCAGACCCGGGCAGGAAGGTCTGTGAGACTCTGATCTCCAATGAACCCCCAGAAAACGAGAGGTGGTGCTGTGGCTCAAGTGGTAGAGCGCTCGCCTTGAGCTGAAGAGCTGAGGGACAGCGCCCAGGCCCAGAATTCAAAACCCACGTCGGACAAAAAAAAAAAAAAAAAAAGAGTAGAGGTCTCTTCTCCCGCACAGCCGGTGCTCAGTCTTGTTGGCTCCACAATTCCAGGAGGGACAAAGAACAGGTTTCAGGACTGTGCTGGTACAAGAACCTTGGTAGCCAAGGCAAATACAAATCAAAGATGGAAACAAAACCAAAAACCACTATGTTCCAGCACAGGCAGTCTGGCCCTGGCGCTGGCTCCACCAGACGCTCTGTTCTCTCCCAATGCACTAAGAACTCAATGACGCCGCACGGCCCAGCCTGAGAACACCGGGTAAGGACTGCAGCAGGGGAAGCCCGGGAGCTTTTCCAGTTCCGACAGCGCACTCACTGATCTGGGCACATTCACAAATCATGGAGGGCAGAGGAGCGGTGATAAAAGCAAGGGCTCCAAGGTGGAGAGGTCAGCTAGGGACACAGAGGGCTGGCTGTGAATCCATCCACACAGACTACAAGCAGAGTAAGCACAGTTGAGCAGGGTGGCACATGTCTGCAATCCCAGCTACTCTGAGGCAGAGGAAAGAGGCTAGCAAGTTTGCAGCATATCGGCCAAGTTAGTGAGACCATCTCAAAGTCAAAACAAAAGGAATTAGGAATGGCTCCAGTGGCAGAGTGCTTGCCTTGGATGCCTGAGGTGGTGAGTTCAAACCCCACCACTGCAAAGAAAGCAAGACCAAGAGAAAAATGAGCAGAAAACAGGTGACACAAACAAAGTCCATAGTAAGGTAGTAGACTAAACTGGATATGTCAGCAATTTAGTTAAATTGTAAGTATTAGAACAAAATAAATCCTGGGCAGCTAGGACAATTCTGTATTATTTCTTACAGCTGCACACCAATTATTTCAAAATAAAAACTAAGCTAAAGGGGCTGAGAAGGTGGCTCAGTGGTAGAGCGCTTGCCTTGTATGCCTGAGGCCCTGGGTTCGATTCCTCAGCACCACATAAGCAAAAAGAAAAAAGCCGGAAGTGGCGCTGTGGCTCAAGTGGTAG